GTTTTCTCATGTAATTATGTAACTGACATCTTTATATAATAATACATTTGGGTGGTCTGTCCCTGAAATTCTTGGTTTGTTAGGAAACATTACCGTTTCCACCAGTAATCACTTACTCCTAAATGTTATGAAAGAAGTTGGTATTGTTACATTGCATCATTGCCGCAGTCAGAAGCTAAACTTTCTAAGTCAGTTTGCCACTGGAAAAGGTTTCTAGGTTTTGGTTTTGTTTTTTTCCTTAAATGTCATTAAATGAGCTAAAATGTTCCTGAGATGGAATACTATATGACAGGACGTTTAAAAAAAAAAAAAAATTGAAGAGTGTGGGGCCTCAGGGCTGTTGCTGTCTTTTCAGTGACTACAGCAAGGGGTGTCCTTATCAGAGAGTTCGTGTTGCAGTTTCTCTCTCATCTGGTCGCATGGCACTGGGTTAGGATCATCCTCACTGCAGTGAATGAACCACAAATATCTAACCATGAGCACACTGCCATTAGCATTGAGTTCATTTTAATGCAAGTGTTGGTAATAGAGTTCTGTGCCTTGCTGATTAAAAAATGACCCACTTAACAAAACTGAATCGAGTTTTCCCCTATAATTCTTCTGGGACTGTAGATTGCCTTGGTCCTGAGGAGATAACCATCACTAATCCCAGATTCAGCCAGGACTTGACTCTAACGAATCATGATGGCTGATTATTCCACCCGAGGCATTCTGTTAAATTGCTGTTACCTAAAGTTTGTGTGGGAGGCCTTTGCTAAGGAGCAGAGAGGAAAGTGTGTAGATGAAGCTGGAAGAGAAGAACCCTGGGGTGGGGTGGGGGATGGGAAGTGAGCATGTAGAAAGTTGAAACAGGCAGGGTAAGAGGTGGCCAGAGTTGGTTTTAAAAGGTAAAAAGAGGTTAGGCATAGTAGCACATATCTCTCATTCCAGTACTCAGGAGGCAGAGACAAGAGGACTACCATAAGTTCAAGGCCAGCCAGTCTACATCATGAGTTCTCTGCCAACTGTGGCTATGTTGTGAGATCCTGTTTCAGCCTCCTCCCTACCCACCACCCACCCCAAATAAAGACTTTAAATAGTAAAAAGGAATGTCTGCCGGGCGGTGGTGGCTCATGCCTTTAATCCCAGCACTTGGGAGGCAGAGGCAGGTGGATCTCCGTGAGTTCGAGACCAGCCTGGTCTATAGAGCAAGATCCAGGAAAGGCACAAAACGAAGCTACACAGAGAAACCCTGTCTCAAAAACAAAAAAAAAAAAAAAAAAAAAAAAAAACCAAAAAAAAAAGGGGGGGGGGGGAATGTCTGAGATGATAGTAAATCCGGCATCATGGACTTATTCATCAGTGCTTGAACGGTGACATATGGAAACTGGAGTGAATGAGTTCTGCCTCACATCCTGAATTCATGCTTCCAGTGTGTCTTTACAAAGCAGCTGGTTAATATTTAGCCTTTTATGCAATGTATCAACACCTTCCAGCCACTGTGCCCAGATAGCTAATATTTTTCATTAGAGATGGATCGGCACCTGTAGTGGTTAATTCAGTGGCATTGACGGTGCTGAATATTAGGTTATGCTACAACACAAAACACTGGTCGCTGAAGAAAGGTTCTAGTTAGTACCAACTAAACAAACAAGTCACCTAACCTGTTAGAAGCTAGCAGGGAAAACTGAAATTTAAACACATTTTTAAATGCCTTTGCACAGAGATTGCCATACAAGCATTTAGCTCACTGGAGTGGCAGTGCTTTCTCTGAGGTAAGATATACATCCAAACAGGTATAGATTCAGTTCTGTGCCGACGTGTGTGGGTGTGGGTGTGGGTGTGGGTGTGGGTGTGTGTGTGTGTGTGTGTGTGTACATCTTAGCATGGGATTCCATCACCCAGGAAAATGAAGTCACTTCTTACTGTTCGACTTCATACTTCCCAGATTGTGTGTACCCCAGGGTACCACAGTCACTTCAGAGGGAATATTTGGAACTTCAGAGTAAAATGTGAAATAGTTGATGGTTTTCAGACCCCCCCCCAACACACCACCACCTTGAAGTAGTTCACAGTTTCAACATTAGGTGGCGCTACATTCCTTTTGATGATGTCATATCTTTCTAAAGTTGAGTTTGGGGACATAAAAGGCAAATACTGTACGGTAATAGGGGATAAGGGATGAAATTGGCAGCACCCAGTCTGATCCTCAGACTTGAGAAATTGCACAGGGCCTGAAAAAAATATGCACCTCCTTTCATAAGTAATTGTGATTAAAAATAAAATAAATGCACACTTCCGTTTTCAACTTTTAGCATTGTTTTCTTCAAATTCTCACTAGCTTGTTAGGGCAGCTACTTAGGAATTGTTTGAACCTAAGTACTTAGTAAATGAGCTATTGGGTATTTTGTTTGGCCAAGAGACCCTATGAGAAAGTTTCCAAGACTAATGGATTCACGGATCAAGACAGCTTGGGAGCCTTGACTCAGTCGTGAACTATTGTGAAGCGCTTGGAGTTGTAGCAAATGTCTCCACCAAAGCCTGTGTTGCGGACTCCGCCCTCTCTACCGCCCATTGGGGTGAGTGAGCTGCAGTACCATGAGTTCCCACTCTTCCTTCAGCATGGGAACTCTTTCCTTCAGTAAATCTAACAGGGTAGATATCCCCTACCAAGAGGGACACGCGAGTTCCTAAGATTTGTCTTAGGACAATTCTTACTTACAGTAAATCCAAATCAGTTATCCCATTGGCTTCCATTCCAAAACTGGAGTTATGTTCTCTGGATGGGGGTAGTGAATGAGGTGAATTAATCCCAAAACAGATTAAAAGTTACACTTAAGAAGAAAATAAGCTATTTTGAAATTAAGAATTCAAAAAGGAAAAAAATGGTTTTATTTTATTTTTAAAGTTATTCAAAACAAGCCCCAAATGACAGGACATAACCAAGGAAGCAGTGCTGCTCGTAATTTAGAGGTGCTTTTTCAACTCATAAAACATTTCCTCACTTGCAAGAACTTTCATAACTGGGCTCCCTAAGACATAAACCTCTGGGGGCGTTTAAGATACAATTCAGTTTTGAAAAATTATTTAAAATTCTATTGGCTCCCCAGAAGCAAAACTTTGTATTTAAGCAGGATGCATCTATTTCCAGAAATTCCCTCCTCCCTGTGGGGCCATGTATGTAGAAGGGTGAAGACGCCTGCCCAGGGAGTTGTGTGCATGGAAGGGTGAAATGTCCACCCGTGGGGCAGCATGTGTGGAAGAGCGAAAATGTCCATCCACCTGTGGGGCAGCGTGTGTGGAAGAGCGAAAATGTCCATCCACCCATGGGGCAGCGTGTGTGGAAGAGCGAAAATGTCCATCCACCCATGGGGCAGCATGTGTGGAAGAGCGAAAATGTCCATCCACCCGTGGGGCAGCGTGTGTGGAAGAGCGAAAATGTCCACCCGTGGAGCAGCGTGTGTGGAATGGTGAAGACGCTCGTGGGGCAGCGTGTGTGGAAGAGCGAAAATGTCCACCCGTGGAGCAGCGTGTGTGGAATGGTGAAGACGCTCGCCCGTGGGGCCATGTATGGAAGGGCTATGCTATACAAGAGTGTACACAGCTCCCATAAGCTCCCCATTGCACACACTGAACCTAGGTACTAAGCCGCCTTGCCTACTTGCTTGCATTTGATCCTGTTGGGAATGAGACTCATTACTTAAGAATGTCCATCTTAGTAAGGCCCTTAGCGCTCAAAACTAATTGGATTTTTTACAAAAAAACGTTTAAGGCTTACTTGTATGGAGGACCTTGGCTTTCCCAGTGCTGAGAACATTTGTCTTTCCAGATTTCCTGGCCTATCATCTACAAAGAAATCCACCCTAGGATTTTATTTAGTCATCGGTTGATTGCCGTGGTTTTTCTGCATCCTCTGGTTCAGCAGGGGACACCTGCATGCATGCCTTCTTTAAAACCCTTTCTGGCCTCCCAACATGCTAATTACTGCCCTGCTCTCAACCTAGTCTCACAAAACAAGTGCCCTGAGAATGTTTACATTCAAAGTGCCTTTTGCATAGGCATATCAAAGTTCGTTGTAAACACTAATTACTTTACATTGTTCTGTGAGTCTCATTTTTCTGTCTCAAAATAAGGCTTTTGATCCCTTGGCCTTGTCTACCTGTCAGCCTGTGGAGACAGTTACTGTTGGTTTCTCAGGGACAGGGAATCAGTCCGGGCAACGCTGCCAACATCCAGCTCTGCAGACTGGAAGCATGAGGTGCACATACGTGTGCACGCACACAATCATACTCATGCACACAGCCTCCTCAATAAGGGTCTGTGGGGCATGGTGGTGTCACATTTCGTATCAGCAATGAGTTGAACAGTCTAAGTACCCTTGGCATCTTTCAAATGCTCAGAGATCACGTGACTCATTCAAAGTGGAGGCTGCTGTGAGTCTTTTTCTGCCCCCCCCCTTTTGTGTGTGAAGCAAAACTTTTTGAAATCTAAGAATTGCCTTATAATGAGTTACAGGATAAGTACACATACATTTGACAGTGTGTCCATGTAATACATACTCAGAGATTCGCTCTGCTGTTTTATGTGCCAGATAATTTTGAAACATTATCTTTTATCCTTCATTAACTGAACAGTGTATGTTTTATTTCCACCATTTTACAGAGGCAGAAAATGAGCTCCAAGGGTACGAACTACTTTGCTTCGAACTACTTTGCTTAGTGGGTGGTAGAATTAGAATCCTTGCCAGGTGAAACTGCGTGGTCTACCATGCAATCGGCGGCATTCTCTTCCCGGATTCCTGTTATATCTTCAAGGGCCTTGTACAGGTTAGTTAGGACTGATGGTGTGACTCAATGAGAGAGCACTTGCCCTACAGGCACGAGGCCCTGGGCTGGGTCCACGGCGCTACTCACCAGCCAGAAAACATCTACTTCACCATCATGCAGATAAACAGACTAGAATTCCGAGAGACATGGAGCTTCTCATTGCTTCCTCAAGGTTAGATCTTGATGCCCCTCCACAGTTGCAGCCAGTGCTCCCTGTATCTCAGGTGACTAGAGCCAAGACCACAACCGTCTCCTTGATGGTGTTTCTGGAGTTCATGCAGAACCTGGAGACTTGCATTTTGCTGCTTGTCTCATCCTCATTGTCCTTAAAGGCTTATCTTTATCGACTGACTTTTACTGCATCCACCATCTTCAGTATGCTGAACAGCTATCCTTGAAGACTAGACTGTCCATATGAAACATACCAAATGTGTCCGTGAATAATTTAATATCTCCAAATAAATATTATTCTCATTCTCTCTCTCTCTCTCTCTCTCTCTCTCTCTCTCTCACACACACACACACACACACACACACACACACACACACACACACACACACACACACACTCCTGGTGATATGCACACTCCTAATTCCTCAGAATCTAACAACTTTTGAGCAAATGTGATGTGTCCGGCTCTGTAGTAAGACCACTTTTAACTTTAGTTCACTAATTCTTCTAAGTACTTTAGTTAATGGTTATTCTGTCTCCATTTTTTTGTTGTTGTTGAAAGAAACATAGGCTCAGAGAAGTTACTTTCTGAGAGGATTCTAAGTGTCTTTTGCATGAATGGAAGCTTGCTTTTACTTCCTGGGAGCCACTGTTTTCCTAAAAGTAGTCCTCAGCTGTAAAATCTAAATACTTTCTTTTTCACTCTTGAGTTATCCTTTGAACTCTATTTTTATGTTATTGATGAGATACTCAAAGGACCCAGTATGTTTGAGTAGGCACCCAACATGTGAGTCAAGCTGAGGCTGGGAGGCCACTTCGAAGCTTTAGAAGCATAAGCTTCAGAAGAGTTGGAGCAGAGGTGTGTGCATGCCCGCACACATTTCCCTCAAGTTTGGTGCTACCAAGAGGCTAGATGAAGTTAAAGAGGAAATGGGGCTACAAGGTCCTTACACCAGGACTTCATTAAAAGTTTGTCAACCTGCCTAAATAATTCTGGAAGCAGTCCTCTGTCCATACTGTCCATTTCTACTTTCACAAATGTACCATGATTTTCTAGTACACTTCGTTGTTGACCTGCCTTCCAGGAGAAAAAAATTATTTTGTAAATTTGTGTCATAGCACATACCTTGAAATTATGCCGTATTCCTTCCTAGATGCCTTGGAGGACTTCCCACAACCCCTGGCATATCTATCAGTGGTCTCCCTTTTATTTGACTCTCTAATGAGTCCAATTATAGACCTCCTTCTCGGTCTCTTTGTTGCTGAAGCCCTGGCCAGTTCAGTTCTGTCACTCTGTGCCCCTCGGCCCCATTACCTGTCCTTTCTAATCTCTTGTTTATCTCATGCTATTGCTGCTTCCTCCCTTCTCCCTTCCTCTTCTAATGAGCATGGTGAGAGTTAGCCATGAGAAATGTCCAAGGCCTAGACTCAAGTTTTCCTACTTAGTGTTTCCTTCATACCCAGTCTGTTTCATGGATAGAGGTTGTTTTGTGCCCTTTTAAAGATAATTGTGTTCATTACTTCATATGTGTGGATGTTTTGCCTTCATGTATGTCTGTGCATCCTGGGCATGCTATGCCCAAGGAGGTCAGAAGAGAGCATTGGATGCTCTGGGATTGGAGGTACATACGGTTGTGAGCTGTCGCATGAGTGCTGGAAATCCACCATGGATCCTCTGGAAGAGCAGCCAGTATTGTCAACCACTGAGCCACCTCTGCAGCCTGTTTTTGTGTTCTTAACTCCCATCTGTATTATCAGCCTCAGTCTCCCAATGATACCCCCAAGCCGGATCAGCTTATACCTCTAGGGCATGGTACTTTTCAAGCTTGGTACATGAATCAGCTGGCACTTCTAACACAGGAGCTCTAATAGGGTTGAAGTTCTGTCTCTAACACAGTGGGGCTGCCCGGTTGATGCTAATCTAAGAACCGTACCTTGACCAGTAAAGTGGCATACATATATGAACATGACCATGGGGCTGGTTCCGCCATCCACTTCTCTGTTAGCACCCCATTACTCCAACACCCAACTTTTTCTTGAACCCTTCTAAGTTATACTAACCTGGACACCAAGTTCATATGTATTCACTGTTTAATATATAGCTCACTATTCAGTTTAAAAACACATATGATTCATTCCTTATTATTGGTTTTCATGCCTTAATCTTGTCTTTCTATTAATATGTCAGTTTTAGCACCAATACAAAGCAAATTGGTATGTAATTTCTGAAGTCCATCCATTGGATATTTATTTGTTTTCCATATTGCCCACATTAAACTAGGTATTCCTTCATGCCATACCTCTTTGTTGAAGATATCTTCTTCCAGGGCTGAAATCCTGTCCATATGTAGACTACGTTCCATTAAGAAATGGGTGATAGAGTGTGTGTACACTATCACATGCAGTGGGTCCTTGACAGCTTCTTTTTTGGAGCCTGGACAATGGAATCCAAATGACAAAGTTCAGATTCCTGCTCTGTGAAGTTTTCCCTCCATCACCCCAAATGGAAAGCACCTGCTCCCACTTTCAAAGCCTTCGCCTGTGTTCCTCTTCTGACCTGTCAGCCTTTCTCAGTGCGGTCAGAATCCAGCAGACACTTCTCCAGTATTGACTGTCAAAATTACTAAACATGGCCAGGCAGTGGTGGCACACGCCTTTAATCCCAGCACTCGGGAGGTAGAGGCAGTTGAATCTCTGTAAGTTCAAGGCCAGCCTGAGGTACAGAGCAAGTTCCAGGACAGCCAGGGCTACACAGAGAGAAAAACCGAGAGAGAGAGAGAGAGAGAGAGAGAGAGAGAGAGAGAGAGAGAAGAAATACTGAGGAAAGGTAAAAATAACGAAAAGTTAAAAATAGAAAAATAAACTCTATCTCCCCAAATACTAATTTACCTTTCTGGTCTGTTTTGTTTGCTTTCTGGCTTTCACCCCCTCCTGCATCATCTTGCTTGTTTGTGTTGCTCATTTTGAAAGGTGAAGTGTGCCGGGCGGTGGTGGCGCACACCTTTAATCCCAGCACTTGGGAGACAGAGCCAGGTGAATCTTTGTGAGTTCGAGTCCAGCCTGGTCTACAAAGTGAGATCCAGTACAGGCTCCGAAGCTACACAGAGAAACCCTGCCCCACCCCCAATAAGATGAAGTGTAAGGCCACGTGTAAGATTGACTGAACTTAGCTAAGAGTATTCAAAGCAAACTATACATTTTCGAGTCGGAGTTGAAGGCTGCTGCTGTATCCTTTCACTTAGAACTCCTGACAAGTGGCTGGCAATATAGCTCAGTTGGCAGCATGCTTGCCTGGCATTATAGGAAACTCTGGGTTACATCCCCAGCACCGTATTAAACTGGGCATGCTGGTACACACCTGCAGTCCCAGCACTGGAGAGATGCAGGCAGGAGGCAATTCAGAATCATCCTTGTTTAGCAAGCTTGAGGTTTGAGCCAGGCTGGGATACAGGCGACCCTGCCTTGGGGGGCGGCGGTGGGAATCTGCAATCAGAATCATAAATTGGCAGAGGACATGCTTTCTGAGTTCTGTGGTTACAAGAGATTAGTGTGATGAGATCCAAAGACTAGTCACAATTGGGGTCATTTCCAAGTCACACAGGAGAATTCCTACCAGTGAACACCAGGGACCGAGCTGCTGAAATCTGGAGATCTTGGACTAAGGGATTGATCTTGAGTACATGAGGCTGATTTGGTCAGGCCTTCTACTTTGGTGTGTGTTGGAAACTGCCATTAAGGTGTGCTGTATACCTGTGTTCATAGCCCACATTCGTCACAACAGCTGAAATCTACAAGCAGGACAGCGGTGTCATCTGGCCTGGAATGTAGTCACACCCTCCCAGGGAGCTGTGTAAAAAAAAAAAAAAAAGATGATTAGAACCAAACCCAAGACCTGACTCCCAAGCACTTCTGGACAAAGCAGAGGACATTTCTGGCTTCTGATAGAACCAAGATGTTGACGAGAATCAAGATCCCTGCCCCTGAACCAGCCTGAACAGTATCTGCTTCCTGTTCTCATTTCCCCTATGTGTGACACTCAAGACTGGGAACACTTGTAGAGACAGAGAGCAGGATGGGGATCGCCAGAGGTTGAGAGGGAAGGAAATGGAGAATTATTGTTTAATAGGTAGGACTGTTGTTTTGGAGAGTGAAAAAGTCATGAAGATGGGCAGTGGTGTTGGGCGTGTATCATTGAGTGGACACACTATCACTAAACTATACAGTTCAACATGGTTAGTATAGTCAGTTGCTTAAGGTGGAGTTGTTTTCTGCTCTGTTGGGAGCACCCCTCGAATGGTAAGGGTAATGTTTGTACTCACTCTCCATAAGGAGGTGGGCTAAACTCTGCTCACATGGTTTGTTGCCTTCTTGGCAAATCTCATACACTGGAAGTAGAAAGCCTTATTTGTAAAAAGACCTCCTAAAGTAGGCCTTGCTAAAGTACAGCCGGATTTTACATGTACAGAAAATTGATGGGCAATCACCATAATTAAAGGAAGTAGCCAAGCTACAAATCCAGTCTTTTCCCAATTCCGTGTCTTGGAGAGATCATGAGCATCATTTTGGCCACAAAGAAACAAGTTTCAAAGTCAGAATTCGAGATAAGATTTTTTATTCTCAGCAAATTGACAGTAGAATAATTCAATCTTAGAAAAGAAAAACTTTACAAATCAACAGTGATTAAAAAGAATCATAGCCAAAAAATTAAAGAATGTATTTGACAGGAAGTTGGAAAAGGCCAATTAGCCAGTGGTAGCTACGCTGGGTAATTACACACACACACAAATAAATAAAAAGGAAGCAAATGGAAGTAAATCTACAACTTTTTTTTATTATTAAGAAATTTTCTGTTCATTTTACCTACCAACCACAGATCCCCCTCTCCTTCTTCCTCCCGCCCTCTAATCCCCCCACCCCCATTCCCACCTCCTCCAAGGCAAGGCCTTCCATGGGGAGTCAGCAGAGCCTGGTACATTCAGTTGAGCGTGTGTGTGTGTGTGTGTGTGTGTGTGTGTGTGTGTGTGTGTGTGTGCGCGCGCGCGCGCATATGCATGCCTGAGTTAGGAGAGGGCATTGGATCCGTGGAGCTGGAGTTACATGCAGTTGTGAACTGCCTGACTTGGGTGTTGGGATTGGAGCACCAGGCTTCTGGAAGAGCAGCATGTACTCCTAATGTGGACACTGATATTGATAGTGTTGTAGCATTAGAAAGGCAGGGGTGGAAGTCCATATCACTATTAACTACATAAGCGCTAGTAGCTCAAGAAAGATGTTTATTTCTGCCATTGTTCTTGAGCACTGTAGATTGAATTGACTTGAGCCGAATGACAGCTCTCCAGAATATTCTGTCCATAATGTTCAAAGTGGAGTTTCTGTAAAAAGAAGGGGTGGGGGAGAGAAGGAGAAGGGGATGGGGAGCAAGAAGGAATGAGAAAGGGAAGGGCCCAGAGTTCATGTATATCCAATAAGATCACGCCAAGAACAGGTGTTCATGCTATGAGAAACTCAACTCCAGATGTGGCACAGCTGGAGAGAGGTCATAGGAGGAAGATAATTAGACTGAAGGAAGAACTAGAAAATAGAGAAGGCTTTGATCATGAGGGCCAAGCTGTGAGTCCTTTTCTAACTTTCATGGCAAAGATTGAGATTCTTAAAATGCACAGTTCCATTTTTCCCCCTTGCCATCCTTTCTCTAAATATAGGAGTGCTTGTAGACAGCCAGGATCCAATATTTGTGTGCAGGGACAGCTGTGTGAGGGTGGGTTCTGGGGGGATGCACAGTCTATAGGAAAGACCAGTCGTCGCATCCTTGTAGCTAAGTGGAAAGTGTAGGAGACTGGTCCTAGAAGTTGTGCTGCGGGAGTCATCCTGAGCCTGGCAGAGGCTGCCTGAGGTTACCTAATGGCTTTCTTCCGTCTCTTCTTTGTGAATCATCTACCCTACCCTTCGGCAGTACATGTTTGAGTCACTGCTGAATGCAGATATCTCATTAGACCGGGAATTAAGGGCTATTAAAAATGATTTGCTGCTGGTTCCAGATTAAAGACAGCAGACCAATTTACCATTACAGTTGCCCTGGTCCAAAATAAAATGCAAATTGTTAAGATGGAGCAGTTAGAGGGGAGCAGGGTGAATAGAGTACACCTCCTCTGACGTCCTTCAAAGAGAAAGGAAGATTGCTGAGATGGTACAATTTAAGCAGCGGCCTCTCTTAACCTGCTGTAGAGGTGGAGTCCCCAAATGAAAACTCAGAAATGGCCATCAGTCTGGAGTGTACATTTGGAGTACAAATCTATGTTCTCCCAATTCCCTCAAGGTACAAAAGCTTCAAGTCAGGTAATGATCTTCTTGAAGAGAATTTATTTTTAAAATTATACATTATGTTCTATACTCCCCCCTCTCTCTCACACACACACATAAATAAATAAATAATCTCAAAAAAAAATAACCAAGAACCTAGCAATTCCATGAACAACGATGAGTTATCACATTCTTTTTGAATCGTCTATCTCAGGAAGTGTTCCATTGTCTGCTATTTGTAATGAACATGATGTCATCCACCCCTGCACTGAGACAGTAAGACCCACTGATCCTGTAACTGTGAAGTCAGTTACAGTTTATATCTGGAGTGATTACAGGTTATTAAGTCCTTCATTTGTGATAACTTAGCCATGCTTCTCAGAAATACTAAAATATGAGGTCATCTTTTCAGAAAATCAATTCTTGGGTTTTTATCCCCCTCAGTATACATTAATTGCATAAAATAATGGGTTTCGTTGTGACTTTTACACACTTGCATCTGATATACTTTGATCATTTACCTTTATCTACCATCACATCACCCTCTCTTGTACCCCTCCCCTTACACACACACACACACACACACACACACACACACACACCCTGTAGTCCAGGACCCTGTATGTCTCTTTCCCTATCTAGATTCTATAAAGAGAGAAAATGTGATACTTGTCCTTGTTAGTATGGCTTACTGTGGTCTCCTGTTGCTCCGGTTTACATAGCTTCTTTATGGCTGACTTCTCTGTCATGTATATCTAGTTCCTATCCAGTCACCCATTTGTGAGCACACAAACTCATGCCATGGTTATTGTGATGTGATAAACTTGGAGTATAAAGACATCTCTGCTGAATACTGATCCCTTCAGGTATGAACCAGAGAGTGATGAGCTACCCTGAGTTCTGGTTTTAGGTTTTTAAGGAACCATAAGATTTGACTCTTGAGATTGTCTCCTCTGCTGTATACCTCAGTCATCCCTCAAACATCACTATCATGTACTCTGTGTATAAAATAATTAGCTTCCATTTCTTAATTCACTGTTGCGAACTGAATGTCTTATCCCAAGAACATTTAAAATTAGTCAATAAACATCCGAGGCTACCCAGGGGTGTTGGAAAACCTAAGCCTGTGCAGTCCAGAGCTTGCTGGTTTTCCTCTCTGCTGCCCCGAGAGTGGCCTGGGATTCTGTCATTTCTCCCTCCCTGCTCTTCTGCTTGCCTGAGTCCTTTTGTAACCCTCCTCCTCTCACACCTCAAAGAAACAGGGAAAGTCTAGGCTGTTTATCTGTGGGAAATGCTCCATGATTGCTCCCAAGAGTTCTTAGGGACATTGCGATCAATGTTATTCAAGTTTTTAGAACTAAGAATTCTAAGTAGAGTGGGTGTTTTCAACCTTCATTTGCCTGTAGACTGTTTCCAGAGTCCTGACAAGTGTTCAGAAAGCATCAGACCCTAGACTTCCACCCTGAAGGGAATCTTCTGGATTATACTAAATCAAGGGTTGTATTGGATAAAAAAAACAAAAATAAAAAAAAATCTTTAAGAAAACCCGAGGATGATTGTCAAGATAACAATAATACCGTTCTCATACACCTTCACTTTTTCACTTATATTTTAATTTAATTTTTCACTGGAGCAGTTAAAAAGAAAAATCATGAAGAATAGGAAATTGTATAAATTTTTCCTGGGGTACAGTTCCTTTTCCTTGAAGATTCTTTTCTGCAGTTATGACTTCCCTGGTCAATGGATGAGCAGCTGAGCTCTGTAGTTTTTAATATTGACTGTCGGTTTGACGGAACCTGGAGTCACCTGGGAGACATCGGTGAGGGAGTCTGTAGGCTGGGTTCATTGGAGTGGGAAGAACGACCCTAAGTGTGAGCAACAGCATTCCATGGGCTGTGCTCCAGGACTGAATGAAAAGGCGGAAGGGAGCTGAGCATTTCCTCACTGTGGGTGCAGTGGGACCAGTTGTCTCACACCCCTGCCTCCGTGACTCCCTTTCCCGAGTTGCTTTTCATCGGATATTTTTAGAATAAGTAAACTACCCAATACCAAGTCTGTCTGCATCCCATCACTCCCGTAAGTAGACTTGTTCCGTCCCTGCTCTCCCCTGCCCGAGGTTGCAGGGCCATTCTCGGAAGTTCCTTCAGTATGTTTATGAGTGCTTTAATACAGAGTTGGCTTTTCCTTCAGCGGTGAGATGAAGACATCTTTTCGGGGAGAGAAGATTCACTGCTGTCATCTTGACCCATCACTCATGTTCACTTCCATGAACAATTCTTGCTGTATGTGTGCCCTCACCTCACTCTACTGTACGTTAGAGCAGCTGAAGTTAGGCACGTCTGGAGCATTACTTTCTGGATAACTTCTTAATATCTTTCCATCCAACAACTCTTTCCTTTAGTTATAAATTCCTTCTAATGAGAATTAAAAAAAAAAAAAACCCAGCCATGTTTATATTCTAGGTGGTCATAGAATAGTTCTTCAAATCGCAGTGTAAAATTAGGTCTTCGGCTTCAAAGCTCTCTCTTGAACCTTCTATTAGCCACTCCCTAGTTGTGTGAACCCTTTCCTCGTCTGGGGAATGGAGAACTCGGACCACTTTAATGTTGTCATAAGGAACAGTAAAGACAGTGCGAACTGAGTGCTTTGCGTGCTCCTGGCAACACTTAGAGGCTCTTAGGAGAGTGACT